AAGTTTACGGTTAATTCTGCCCTTCACTGTGTCTGCTTTGGTGCATTCTTGGCTCTTGTCTGATATTGGTGGTGCTCTGTCCCAAATATGTCTGAAGACTTAAATTCTGATTAGAAAGAGGAATGTGAAGCATATTTCTAGTAGGGATGCTTGTGTGACAGGGATATCTATTACAACCTAAAAGTTCTTCCAAATTTTGCTGTACTGCTTGGTATGACTCATCATTCTTTGTGGACTAAGAAGAAAATATATGTTTGCTCTTATTTACTATAAAGTACATACTTAGAAAGTTATAATATGAAATTGCTCTTTGGGAGCCATCATTCCAAATACTGGAACTTGGAGATGTGGACATTTGTAATTTTGCTTCTCAAGCTTCTTGCCTGTGTGTAGGAAAAAAGTCTGAAATTGCATTAAAAATATCAGCTAATGACCTAAATACACCTAAATACAAAAAATGACTTATTTTCCTACTATGAAATATATTCACTTCCTATATACATAAAAAATACCCACTGTAGGAAAAAAATGAGAAAGTTCTATTTCTTTATTAATTGTGGTATGAGGAGATGGTAGAATCTTCATTATAATTTTAAAGTTTTGAAGTAGTTACAAAATAGTTTTCTCTTTATTCCCTGTCCCAGGTAATCAATAGTTGTTTGAAAGGGGACTTCTGTTCATAATTTATAAAACAATAAGGTCTGTATATTTTCTATGAAGTCTGTACATTTTGATTTTTCCAAATAATAATGGAAAAGTAATGAAAATACATCTTCAGTAATTGTGCTAATGAGAGATTCTCAGTAGTATCATACAAGATTATCATTATCAAACTTTCATTAACAAGAAAAGCCAATGTCTATATAAGAGAACCTTGCCATGTAGTTATTTCAGAATTATCCATCACTTAAATCAGAGGACTGGAAACATTGTTGGGACGGTGAGTTCACTGTCTCTGGTAGAAAGACCTTTTGATACCTTTCCTTGTTTACTGTGAATCATAGAGACAGAATACTCTTGCTCTTTGGGTGACAATTTGCCCTTTGAAGAAATAAAATAGCCAGAATAGGATGGGCAATTTAAAGTCAGGCTGAAGGGCTGGTACCTATAGCTTTTTTTTTAACTTAAGCAAAGCCTCACTGGAATCCCTGTAGCTTCTGCAGAAGCACTTGCTGTGGGAACTTGTGAACAAAGTGGGGAGTCTTGCTGGCTCATTTGCTCATTGTTGTCTGCAGCACTAACTGCAGATTGTGGTTTGTAGTGCTGTTATAAAGAATGATTGAATACACTAAAAGGTTAGTTTGCGCTCTTAAGTGCACAGAGTTCCTTTATATCAGATTTTTAAGGGAGTATAATGTAAGCCTCTCCACCTCCGGTTTCCAAACATTTTGTTTTCAGACTAGAATTAGAGGACATTTTATATGTGTTTTAATTTTTACACCTTTGACAGTCTAAGAAGAAAATACTGGTAGAACTGGTGATTGTAATGATGTATTTTACTCCAGATTTGTTACTAAAAATCAGATGAATTTTTGGAACACTTTATAAAAAAGGAGGTCAAGATGTCACTTAAATATGTCAGTACTTAAAGTTGCCATTCCTTCTCCTTGTTTTTGTAGACCTGCTGTAGGATATCACATTGTCACAGATAAAGGATTTAATTTTTCAACAGCAGATGATGCCTTTGTGTGCCAAAAGAAGAATCATTTCCAAATCACGGTTCATATTAGAATCACTGGACATCCAAAATATGTCAAAACTCAGCAGGGGAGGAAACTAATAGAAAAGTTTTACTTGAAAGCTTATGGAATTAAGGCAAGTGTATCTCCTCTTTGAGATTATTACTTTTAATTATCCATGTAATGAGATAAATAATGGAAGTGAACTCTTTTCTTAGTAATTTTTTGACCAAGAACATGTAACTACCTTATGTAGGATCTGTTCTTGAATAGCTACACTTAAGCTTGGGCATGGAATGAGCTAATAACCGCCTGGATTCAAAAAGCATTTTTATTTTTGTAAATTAATGCACTTACTTTCCCTTTTTTTTCTTTTTTTCAAATTACATCTGCAGAAAGACTTGGGCCTTCAGATTAGATGTCAATTATCAATTGATCAGCAGTCAGTTCCTCTATTAATTTCTATGTCGTTCTATTAGATATGAATGCATTTTCACTGTTTTAGGCACAATTTGCCTATTAATGTCTATTTCAATTTTTATGTGTTTGAAAATTTTATATTCTTGTCATTTTTGAACATTATTTTTGTTTTATAGGTGGAAGCTCCAAATGAAATAGTTGCTATTGAACAGTCTCAATCAGATCGAAGCAAAAAAACTTTTCATCCTGTTAAGTAAGATTTTTGAGAAAATTATTCCATTTTGTTTCAATATGTATGGTTGGTTTGAAATATGAAGTAGTTGTTTCTTGAAATCTTAAAGTAGCTCTATGCCAGTTTTCTGATTTTTATCCAGATTTCATTGTGGTTGCACACATAGAATCACAGTAGTAATATATACCTGGTCACACTTCATTAAGAGAAATTTTCATCAGTTTTACAGATATGTTAAATATGGCTATACAAAATATTTATATTCAGCTAGAAACACTATTTTACACTTAGAGCTGTATGACAGATGCATTTCCAATCTTAAAAAATGTCAGAATGTTCCTGTCCTATATGAACATGAGATACATTTACAGTCTTTTTAAGGGGGAGTGCCTCTGCTAGAAACACTCATGCAGCATCTTTCTGGAGCTCTGCCATTCTTGAGCATTTAACTCACTGGCAGAATCTATGTTTATTCTTCTGGCCTGTTTCCTATGTTGGAGCTGCTCTGTTTTCTATAAATAATTAATTTCATAATACAAAGAAGGAAGACAGCATCAAGTTAGACAGGACAGTCCTGGGATAAATGCTGCACTATATTATTACTTAAACTGAACTTTGAGATTGGAAGAAGAGCTTGATTTTCACAAAATTGTCTCTCTCATGACATTTTTCCTCTTTTTGTGTACTAACAAATAGATTCTGTGTGTATGTAAATTATTTTATGTATGACTGTTTGGTGAACTGTAATTTTATCTATATGGACTCTTCATTTGTATTATTTATCAGTTGTTGGAGGACTCCTACTATGTATTTGAGACATAGGTATCTACTGTGTACTTCCAGACATGTAAATTAGGTGCAGATGAAAAGAAGGACAAGCAGTAAGACCTATCAATTTTACTGTGGAAATTCAGGCCCAATAATAAGCAAGTAGTTATTAATCCTGTCAAGCAGAAAATAGGCATCATATGGAACACATACAGTTTTATTATATTCAAGGCTGCATACAGACCAAGAAACATAAGTCTCTTATTACTAAGAACAGTCTCTTACTGCTGGTGGTTTATCACGTTTATCTCCTTGGTGTAGTCACTGTTTTAAATATATTTTTTGAAACCAGGGTTACTGTATTTTTACTGTGGTTCCTCTGCTTTATTGATTTTTCAGTTTTTCTCAGAACTGTTTTAATGAGTTTGTGGACACCTGGTTTGAGCAGACACATCTCCAAATATTTACTTCCCTGATCTTGTTTTTTCTTCTGTTTTAGAGTTGATCTGCCAGGGGACCAGATAACTAAAGTAACACTAGGACGGCTGCATTTCAGTGAAACGACAGCAAATAATATGAGAAAAAAGGGGAAACCTAATCCTGATCAGAGGTATTGCTATTGCTAGTTGGCCTGTGTGTTAGAAGAAGAAAAGAGAAGGTCTTCTTTAGAATGGAGTCAATGTCTGTGAAAACTCTTTGCTGTCAAATCTTTGGTATTTTTCAAATTCTGTGATAGATCTGTAACACTGGGTGTGTTCTTAAAAGCCTCTTTCTCTGCAGTCACAGAATGATATGATAATAAAATACTCCAAACTTCATCCTCATGGTTAGAGATAGTTTCAAGAAATCATAGGCAGAATAATGGCTGACAAAATCAGGAAGCAAAAAACCCCAAATTATGACCATTTTCTTCAGAGGCAGGAAAGGTTTTAATCTTTGAAGCTTCTTGAAATTACTTGAATTTCTGAAAATTATTGTATTCTTTGCTAATTTTCAGTGATTGTGGGGCTTGTAAGAGCAAATTTCTTAAGAGTGAAGGAAATACTTTTTCTTTTATATTGTAAGAAATAAATTTAAAAAACATTGTCTTTTTATGTATCAATAATAACAGCTGTATTTAAAACTTTTTTTCAATGAGAAAGAATTCAATTTTTGTCTTGATTAAATCAATTTCAAATTAGATACTTCATGCTGGTAGTTGGACTGTATGCTGTCTCTCAGGACCAGTTCTACTTACTATCTGCAAATGTCTCTGAAAAGATCATTGTGAGGGTAGGTATAAATTTGTATTATTTTAATATAAAAATATTTACGGTTTTGATATTTACAAGAGATTGTGGGGTCATGATTCTTGGGGATAAAAATTAACACTGAGTCAAAAAGATTGAGGAAAAAACCTACAGTTGCATTGTATGAGTATGTTATTTTCTAATTATCAGAAATTAAAAATGTTATAAGTAGGGCTATAGAAGGATTTTAAAAGAAAGCTTGTTATGAGTTCCAGTATACAAAATATATTGATTTTTCCAGAATTTTTTTTCATTTGCAGTGAAACAATTTACTTCACTTGCCAGGAATTTTGTAAAAGCTTTCATTAGCTAGAGTCTTCAGTTTTCAACGAGGATGAGAAGGAAAAAAAGTACAGAAGAAGATCAAGCAGCTCTAGGAAGTTTAAGACCTATAGCTTTGCTTTTCCAGTGTTCTTCCAGAGTGTCCCACCTCTCAATTTGATGGTAGTAATCTAGGTTTTAAATTAACAAAAGGAAGATAATCTCTTTTCCTCTTAACTGTTACTTTTCAGTTGCCTGGTTCACAGAATGTTTTTCTTTTAGTACTGAGCTTTGACCTACAGTTAGACTCAGAAAAGAGAAAAAGCCCAGATCTGTAGTGTAACAAGAGCTATGGAGAACTGGGGCCGGGAGAGGGAGGAAACAGAGTCCCAGAATGAGTGGGATTGCAAGGGGACTGCCAAGGGAAGGTGGGGGTTGCTAAAAGCTTTCAGTCCTGGCTCCTTTTTCTTGTGATCAGTAGGTGCTGGTTAATGTTTGAACTGGGCATAGTCTGGAGGTATAGTTATTTCTAGGATGAATGTTATGTTTAGAGCTTAGAAAGATGGGAAATACGTACGGTGCCATGTGGTGGGGCTGCAAAGAGAGGGCCTCTGGAAGATTGCAGTCCACTGAACTTTTTCATGTGGGTCAGCTGAAGAGCTGCTTCTTGTTTGCATGGACTCTTTCTAGCGCTTGGCTTATGGAGAGGAATAGGCTTAGTGTATTAGCTTGCAGTCAAGCGACACCAAAAGCTCCTGTGTATTAAGTGGAGTTGTGAAGAGGCTTCTAAAGAAAGTCAAGGGCTGTCAGAAGCTTTTAGTCCTCACATTGTTTTGTGCAGGGCATTGCTTGCATCCTTTTTGGCAGCCCATCATCTGCCTAGGCTTACAACTATGGTCTGGTTTAGCATTTTGGTTCAGAGAGAGCAAAAGGGCAAATCTCCAGCATGTGGGGTGTTGCTCAGGGGTTTCCAAAGGAAGATGGGGGCTTTCAGATGGTTTCAGTCCTGGCTCCTTTTTCATCTGAGCATCCTCTTGTACCATAAACCCTCTTTCTGTAGTTATAGTTAGGTTTTCGGGGGGCATTGTGGCCTGGAGCTCCTTTCTGGGTGGAGATGTGAAAAGACTAGAAAGCAACATGTGGAGTTCTGCAGTTTTCTGCACAGCTGAGAAGTTTTATCATCCTGGCTGCTGCTGTGGATTTTTGCTTCAGAATGCTGAAGCAGTGTGCTTGTATCATTCCTGCATATATAGTTATTTTCCTTTATTTGTCAATTAATTTCCACAATCCTGTTTTAATCTGAATTTCTCTTTCTGGATCTGACGGATATCTGATACCTGTCACAGATATCGCGTAAGTAATATTTTGGGGAAGCTGTTGAATTTTCACAATTGTCTCATACTTGTTATTCACAAGATATATATTTTTTATGTAAGATTTGGAAATTTACATTTTCCCACTATTTTTAATATTAGATTCTTTTGAAATTTCGATGAAGAGGGCTCCTTCAAAGCCTGTGAGAGAGTTTTTGAACAGGAATTCATGGAATGAGATTTTTCAAACCTGGCCACTATTTCAGGCAGAGGAAAAAGAAGGCAGAAAGGCAGAAAGATCAAGAGGCTCTGGTCTGAAGTGGTGAAAATATCAAGAGGAAAGATAGAAGGAAAATAAAGATATTTTCTAGCTGTCTAACAGGCTTTCAGTGGGAGGGTAAAGCAAGTCAGCCACTGGCTACCTTAAAGTGGCAAAGCCATGCAAATGCACTGTGAGAGAAAGTAGCTCATCTTCTGGCCCTTTATACACTCCAGCACAACAAAGCTGCCAGCTGAGTGGTGCTTGTCAGGCTTATCAGATCATGCTCTAATTGTGACAAACAGTGGTGAGTACACAGTGCCAGGCCTTGTAGCTGGCAAAGCCTTGTGAAAGCCTTGCTTCTTTTTATCATGATTGTGTTTTGGCCTGAATTCAAATTTAAAAAAAAACCCCAAAACAACAAACAACCCAAAATGGGCTATTGAAATAAAAATGTCTTTTCTTGTTATATGCATTCTGTTGTTTTATTGGTGTTCTTTAAAAGACTCTGTTTCCTTGACAGGAGATTTTCAATATGAGTTAATTTAAAACATTTCAGAGGATTTTATGAATCACATGTGTTTAATCTCTGCCTTGTTTCTCTTTTTTGATTTCCAGTCTCAGCTAAAATTTAGTGGTAGATAAAGAATGGTTATGTTGTGTAAAGTTAAAATTTGGAAAGCTTTGGGCATTGTCAATTTAGCTTAAGGTGCTAATAAATTAGAATTCAAGGGAAAAAAGCACGAGGCCAGTGCAGTGTAAGCAGAAACCTTTAGAAATAACTCCACTCTGTTTTTTTTCTGTTAGTGTGTTAAAAAGTTCTTGAATACAATTTCAATATTTAAGATTTGGCTATTCATTTTCCCTGAAGTTCTAATAGAACACACAATACTGCATCTATGCTATACTGTATCTTTAAGCAAAAAATTTCCTTCCAGGCATCTAACCCAGGGCAGTTTGAGACTGACAGCGATGTGCTGTGGCAGCGAGGCCAGGTTCCAGAGGCAATAGCCTACCATGGTCGCGTGGGAATTAACACAGATGCCCCAGACGAAGCGCTGGTTGTGTGCGGAAACGCCAAGGTTATGGGCAGAGTCATGCACCCCTCTGACAGCCGGGCGAAGCAGAACATCCGGGAGGTGAGGCCCCTGCGGTGCTCAGGGCACTCCTGTGCCCTGCAGCGCGTGGGCATCGCTGCTCCCACGCGCGAAGCAGCCCCTGTATCCTGGCTGTGCTGAAAAGCTGCCTTAAAGAAAGCAGAGGTACCATTGTGCTCTGAGAAGCATCACCTACAGACTGGACAAGGCTCTCTGTGGAAGCTGGGGGTTGTCAAACAGGAGGGTAACTGGCCGTACAAATAGTGGGGAAAGGGAAGATTGGCTGCATTTTTCTATGTGATGATTGGCCAAATGACTGTGTCAGGCTAGATGCTCTCTCAGTGGTGTCCTAGATACCACGCTTAATGTTTCAACATGTAAATCTTGGTACTTTTCCAACTAGGTCGACACAAATGAGCAGTTGAGAAGAATAACACAAATGAGACTGGTGGAATATGACTACAAGCCTGAATTTGCATCTGTTATGGGAATAAAAGATACCCATGAAACAGGTATAAAGTCAGCTCTGTTCCCATTTTTCATTAACATCTTCTGATATTTATTGTGCCATAGTGTCTTTTAACATCTTGCTATTTCATCCTCATTTTTTAGGTTACTGCAATTGCACACTTTGCAGTGTATCTCTTGTGGTATAAAAATGCAAAAATTAGGTATTGCTTGTACTTTTACAACTTCTGTTTCAATTTTTAAAGATGGGGAGTTTATTTTCAAGAAGTTTAATGAGAATGAAGT